ACATTGCCCAGGCCTTCACCACAATGTCTGTGTCTATTGTGGCCTTCTATACTCTTAGAGCTATGTTGAAGGTTTTCAAAACCTATGTGCATCTCAATTACGAGGGACAATCTTTTGGGTTATGTATTAAACGACATGCTGGGTTAAGCCAACGATGGCCACACCTGGTTTAATTTGTATGGCCTTTGAGCTAAGAATGCTTTATATATTTCCTAAGAGTCGGGGGAAAGGCAAAGAAGAAAATGCATCAGAGACCCTGCATGGCTTGCAGAGCCTGAATACTTACTATCTGGCACTTTACAGAAAGTCTGCCTGACAGAGTCATGGACTCAAACAACCGATGGTACCCGAAACAGTCAACTCCAACAACGAGATGACAGAACCACAGGGAACAGGGACACTTGAAATGTTATTACTTCACTTTAATGCTCCAGGCATTTTAAACATTCATAACATCACCTTATTTCAGAAGTCATTTCCTCTTAGGTACAGAGTCCGTGTATCACTGAATTTTCTTCACGGCTCCCACATGCTGTGGGGCCACTCAGGGGCCTGGTCTTCTCCAGTAGAGCCCCCGCCCCTGCCCCCCACATGCACCGCAGCCTGACAACCTCAACAGTTAAACACACTGTGTAGCTTCACTCCCCTGTGGTTGCTGCGGGTCCCGTACCTTCCCAGCACTACCGCTCACTCCAAGCCCGCGAGAAACATCCAAGGCGCTGGGGAATATCGTGTCCGCGGCAAGTGTGCCCGCACCTGCTCCACTGTACCACCCAGACACTGAGGCACTTGAATGTTCTGGGTAAAACTGAGCTCTAAACACCACAGGGGTTACTTGTGAGGAAAGGGGCTTTTCTCTCAATAATTAATAGCCTTAATGTCTATTCAGCAGATTTATAGATTCCTGTCTGTTTATATTCGCCGCCAAGACTTCACAGACTGTTTCAGTAGATGAAGGCATGTTTGACAAGAAGCAAAGAGAGGACGGCTTAGACGGCACTTGTCGCATGAACACACATGTCAACACCTGGTCATCCTGAAAGAGAGGCCTGTTCTTCCAAAAGGAACTTTTAAAAGCCCTGGGCCCTACGGGATTCCTCTCAGGCAACAAGAATGTGTTTTCCCTTCCTTCTCAGGCAGCGTGGTGCGCACTGCTGCCCGAGGTTCTGATTCAGTCGCCGGGGTGGGGAGAGGGGCACAGTGTGGTTCCAGCGCACAGCCAGCGCTAGGAGTCTTGGTACGGAAGGCTCCTGAGTCTTCCTAATCTCACTGGTCCTCACTAAAGCCTGTGAGGTAGTCCCGGGTCTGGCAACAATCTCTTCTGTGAGACAAGAAACTAAGGCACAGAGAGGTCACAGCTCATCCAACACTGAGCAGCCAATGGCAGGGCCGAGACTGGAGTCGACATCGCCAATGAATAGCGCCCCCCTCCCCAGCAACTGGTGACATGGACACGGACACACACAGAAGACTGACGGGGCAGCGAGGCAGGACCACCTGCGCCAGGACAGCGTGGAGGGGATGCGACGGTTCCGAGCCAACCACCCCCTGATCAGAAGTAAAGATAAGTAGACATGTATTTGAAAACACGTGAGGAATGAGGTATCATTTTCTTCTTAGAGCCTCACTTCCCTCATACATGTGCTACTGAATCAGGTTTCTGAGAAAATCCATCGAGAGCCACAGACTTCCTAACATCTGCATTCTTAGCTCCGGCACTGTAGCCGCTGGAAAGCTCTCAAATATTCCTGTAACTTAGGTCCAAAAGGTCATTACACATCCGTGTTCCCATGGGACAGCCCCACAAGCCTTCCACGCTTTCCCCATTACCAGCTCGCAGAAGCCAGTACCCCACACTCTCTAAGTGGGTGTGCACCTGGCCACACTCTAAGTCCCCAACCCCAACCCAGCAGCCACGCCGGGCCTCCCGGAGCGACCTTAACCACTGACAGTTTCATTGTGTTCTGCATGCAAACTTCACGATCTGTCCTCTGAGCGAGCAACCACGACATTATAATTCCAATTCCCTATGCAAGCCCACCCAGCCAGGTCTTTCTCCTCTCCCCCCAACATCACACCTTCACATCCTCTGCCCACATGTAAGCTCCCACATCTCATCATATTTTAGGAACAGTTGCTTTTTCTTCTCTTT